AGAGAGAGAGAGAGAGAGAGAGAGAGAGAGAGAGAGAGAGAGAGAGAGAGAGAGAGAAACTGTATCAAATCAGGATCAGAGGACCACAGAGGTGGTGAAAGAAGATGGTCCATCAACATTTTAGCAGATGTGTTTTATTTGAATGCCTGCTATTCATTGGAATTTGGGCCTGATGCTCACAATCTGCTCTTCAACTATGATGTTTAGAAACTTTCTGCTCAAAATCAAGTTATTAATCGGACCAAGGGCTAACAGTCTGTCTTATGACTTGCCTGTTGAAAAACACTAACCTTCAATAGATTTTACCATATTCTTAGATCTGTAAACAAATAATAGCCACTATGCCATCAAAGTCAAACAATTTGCATAAGGATTATTTGACATAGGAAATGAAAGCCTCAGAGATAAGCATATGTGGAACAAAATGTGTGTGTTAATTCAGAAACCAGAAAAATATTAGAAAAATTTTTGCCATCCTTATATATTATATACATTGATTGACTTGGAAATAAAAGCCATAGAGATTGAAAAGTTGAAACACAAAGGATTGATAGGGAGCAGAGAATATAGCAGGAGAATTAAATTTGCTTTTGTAGGCAATAAATAATATGATCAGGTTTGTGGAAAGCAAGCTTAGGAAGCACTCCTAGAATTCATAGAATGAGGCTAAAAAACTCTGAAAATAATGAGAGAAATAGTGACCAATATGGAAAACAGAAATCAAATATGCAGGTATAGTTGTTAATGAAAAAAAATGAAGGAAAGAGAAGCACTAATCATAGAATCACAAGGGAAAAAATATTGCTTAAAAAAGAAAACAGACTCCAAGAATAGACTAGCATTACCAAAGGAAAGGGAATGGGGAGGGAGGGAGAAGGGGATTAAGGGGCATTATGATTAGCACACATAATGTAGGGGGGTCATCACAGGGGTCATCACAGGGAAGACAGTATAGCACAGTGAAGACAAGTAGTGACTCTATAGCATCTTACTACGCTGATGGACAGTGACTGCAGTGGGGTCTGGTGGGGGGACTTGATAATATGGGTGAATGTAGTAAGCACAATGTTTTTCAAGTGAAAGCTTCATAAGAGTGTATATCAATGCTACCTTAATAAAAAAAATAAATGGAAAGGGTTTTTACAACTCTAGAACATACAAGCTAGAATCTGAGATTTTTTTATATTGCATGGGAATTCCCTGTTCTTTAAATTTACAAAAATCTAGTGGTAGACTGAGAAAAAAGATTATTTGGTGTCTGATTTTTTTTTAATGCTCATGCTTCTAGACTATAGAAGCTTAGTCTATTCAGGTTTTTTGTTTTCCTTAAACAATTTTGGTAATTCGTGTTACCTAGAAAAGTTACCAATGCTGAGTAATTGTCCTGTATGAATATACATATAGAAAAGAGACTTGAAGTCAGTGCACCAGTGAAATGATTTTTATTCTTCTATATTAGTCTCTTCTATGTTTCCTGACATAAAAAATAATCATGTATCATTGGTTAACTAAAGATTTTTAATGAAATATACTTAAGAATAGCACAGAAATAAGTGAATAGCTCAGTAAATTATCAAGTCCACACATGTATAAATAACCACTCAGATTAGGAAAGAAAGTATAAATAACCAACACAACTGAAGGTGCTCTTTTTTATTTCTAATTTATAAATCCCAATCCTCCATAAGGTATCCACTTTTCTGACTTTTAATACTATACACTATGTCATTTTTTTTTAATTTTGTGTAAACGGAATAGAGTTTGCACTTGTTGTGTAGCCTCTTACTTTATTATTTATGTAAGCTTTCTGTGTGTAGCAGTAATTTAATTTTCAATGCCATATACTATTCCACTGTGGCCAGTTTGTGGCTCTTATGTCCTTATACATGTCTTCTTGGGGCATGTATTTGCATATTTCTGTTGGATGTACTATTACATATGTGTGATATATATGTTCATTTTTAGTGTGTCCTGCTGATTTTCCAGACTGGTGTACTAATTTACATTCCCACTGGCAGAGTGTAAGAGTCCCAGTTGTTCCACATCTTTACCAAAACTTGGTAATTATTAGGAAATTTAAAAAATAATTTTAGCCATTCTGATGGCTGTGTTGTGGGATCACATTGAGGTTTTAATTATCATTTCCACAATGACTGATGAGTGTGGTATTGTTACCCAGATTCCCTCAGCACACCCAAATTAAAAAGCAAATGGAAATTTAGAGAAGGTATTTTTTAAAGTGGTAGTTTTATTCACCTCCACTGAAGGAACATTCAGTCTAAATGGACTTAAATTCCTCTTTCCATTGGAATATGAAAAAGTATATAAAAACCTGTCATTAAATATGTGCAGGCCTGT